TGCTCTGGAATAGCTCACAAATTGATGACATACCAAGTGAGACTGCTGGCCTTGGAGGTGAAGCGTTTGTCAGCAAGGGAATGGAGAGAGTAGTTTTAACAACCACAGCCTCCATATAAAATTCTGTTTGCTCATCCCAGTGTTAGTTTCTGCTTCACGTAATTTCCGAGCAGCAGTCAAGCGTTTAGCTTCACCAGGGAAATATGGTAGGAAAATCAAATGGCTTACCTATCCGCAAAGGTTTCGTCAGTCTTGAGATGCAAAGTTGCACTGGTTTAGTCAAGCCGTTGTAACGGTGTATGTGGATGTGCTTTGGCACTTCCACACACGTCAGTTTATCCTGTTGGCAGCAGGCAGGACAGTTCTGAATGACATAAACCATCAAGTGAAGCAGCTGTGTGCCCACATGTAATGGTAACAGTTAAATTATTTCAGTGTCCTATTTCAGTTACATTTATGTAGGCCATGTGAAAGATGGAAATTTTTTAATAGATTGGAGATTTTTCTTTTTTTAACCTGGCCACTTCAGTTTTTCTTGAATAATTCCAAAATGTGAAGCCAGTAGTTGAAGACTAAAGTAAGCACCACCACATTTCATAAAGGTATCCTTTTCTGTCCTCTGTTGTCAGAATGTATGTTTTTAATTTATCAAAAGATGCAATAATACCATGAAAATAATTGATTTAAACCTCTTCTCAAATTTTGTATGTTTGTCTTGGAAGAAAAAGTATTTTCAAAAATTCTGTTGTAAGTAAAGGATTTTCATACATATGTTTGTGAGCATTTTTGTGTTTATTCACGCTTAGTGAGTATCTATCTGAGTATTGTTTTGTTTGATCAAGAATTGAAAAATAGGTTGGGTTGGGTTTTTTTCAGAATTTGAGAGACACTTTTGTTAACAGCTGTAAACACTGAGGAATAAAGTACTGTATTTGAAGTTATTTGCATCACTTGTGTAGTGTGATTTGGATCCACTATCATATGTTCCTCCTTTGTTTGTAAGGAAGAATTTTTCCTGCTGGTGATCTACAGCAGTGATGGAACTTACTTTTCACGATAATGAAAAATAACAGATATATTTTGACCAAAATGGAGAAGGCTGTAGATACCAATATAGGAAAATTTCAGCAGACAGGGCATGTCACAAATACATCCCTGTTACATTGTCTGGGATTACTAAGCAATCCCAGTTAAATTTTATCTTTGTGGAAAAAAAAAAAAATTACCTAGGTCTATATGATGATTACTTTTGTCTTTACATAAACTAAGGAAATATTCTCTAATTACTTCTGAAGCTTTATTTTTTTAATTTCTATAATTATGAAGTTAAATACAACTTGTTTTGTATGTGCAAGACTGTAGAGCAGATTTGCCCATATAAGTAGGAATTGTGTTTTCAGTAGTTAGTCTGCACTCCTCGTTTTCTCCCCTCACCTCCCTCAGATGAAGACAACTGAATGAATGTTCATTACTTACTGAATTAATGTGTTATTTTTTCATAAAAACATATTTGAGATAAGATAGTTTGAGGTTTACTACAAGGTAAGGAATACCAAGTCTGCAGGATGCTACAATGCTGCCTGTGTAAGAGCCAGCATTAGCAGGCAGTACTGAAATCTTGGTTAAACTTGGCTGTCATCCTGTGAATTCTTTTCAGAATTGGCATTCTTAACAAAAGTGAGAAATTTGTGCTAATGAAGAATTGCGCTTTGTAATACTTGGAATATTGAGTAGGAAAAGAGTGTCTGTACTGGCTAAAATACAGAAGGTGAAGCTCAACGAGGGGCTCTGGCAGTCGGGTAATCCTGCAGAAGTGCCTCAGATGACAGAGTCAAGGAAGATGAATACAGGTTGTTTCGATTTCTTTGCGATACAAACTCAGAGGCATGAAATGTAATTTTAATATTTTTTCTTTTATAAATATTAAACCAAAATCTTACAATTTATATAAAATCTTTACAATCTGTACACTTTTTCAATCTTCTCAAACAGCATTTAAACAAAAATTTTTCAAGTTGCCATAGAGATCAGTTACAACAAAACACAGATTGCTACTGTAACAAAAACGTATTTCCAAAAACATACATAAGCTACTTTAAAGGCAGTTGTGTTTCATCTGAACAGTAACCCTGCCTTGTTAATTGTGGTATTACTCACTATATTTACTTTTATCTTTAAATGATCAGAATTCACACTGAAAAAATAAACAGTAGTTGGGAGGAGGGTACTTGTTTTTTCTTCCTTTATGTACATGAAACACAGGTGAACCTGGAGAAGGAATAAAGGTGAATGCTTTTCATTTAAATTAGCCACGACAAGATAAATTTCAAATCAGTGTTTGCTACCATGACTTTTAAACAGCACTTAGTACGTTAATTGTATTTTTTTCCTAGCATAAAGCAGCTTGAAGATTAATACAGATGTGAGCGGTTTTTGTTCAGTAGCTTTGTCAGTTTTAGCAGTATCCCTGTAGTCAGTTTCTGCTATTAGTCTTTCATGCAGCAAAAAGGAAGTCCCAAAAGAAGTAAGAAGGGACTACTACCATTTAAAAAAAAAAAAAAAAAGAAAAGAGAGAGAGAGACTCTGAGGGAATACTCTAAGGGACTCTGGGCACACAGAGGGATCCTGAAGGTACTTTGAGTGTTCTGAAATTCTCCAGGTATCAACTGACTTCTCTCAAGCAGGAGGCTTCAGCATACATGAAACACCACATACTTGTTCTGTAAGACATTCCTGCAAACAGATCCCTTTTAAGTCATTCAGGTTGTTTGTAGGAACAAGAAGACAACACAGAGAAACATTGTTAGCATGTAATACTGTGCAGATCTGTGGTTGTAACTCAATTTTGACTATTAAGTACTCAACCTAGTAACACAGTAGCCTTAGGGCCAGCTGCTGATGTTAGGGGAAATGTCTTTTTACATAAGAGTTAAGAGTTTGTTCATAATCTCCACCCGCCAGCGTAGACAAAGTGTATATATACACAGAAATTCTATCAGAATCCAGTTAGACCACAAGTGAGCAGTTATCTTAGCTGCACAAGATTTATGGGTCTTAGCTGCTCTTTTGGGGTATTTTTGAAATATGTGAAAATATATTAAACTTCTATCTTGTTTATTTTAATTGTTGCAGAAACAGACTTTTATTTGCTAAATGCCTATTAGAAATACGCTTTGCTGTAGTTCCCTGAACAGAAGACAAATTCAAGAGGCTCACAGAAAATGGGCAAAGCAAGTTTGCCGACATGACCTGAAAGCCATTGTGATTGCTTCATTGATCAAAGTGCAATTCCATGTTAATTGTTAATAATTGAGGTTTAGTGTATGAGGAAAAAAAGCTGCACAATCTTCACAGCTGCTGGGTTTTGTCCTATGCATTTCAGTTATTTACAGTAAGGTAACAGAAAATCCACTACTACTATTTCCCTCCATTTGTTTTTACTTACACATGGAGATACAAGCACAATGCAAGTTCAAAACAAGAATTTAGAACCACTAAACTAGCAAGTAGTTTCAAATGGACTTTTTTAATAAATAAAGCATTCATATACTTGGTAATGACTTTAAATTGTGGCTGAAACATAACATTTATACCACTTTGACCACAAAGCGCACATGCTATTGTAATAAGCTGACTAAATTTCAGTCTATAATGGACTTGTAAGTTACAAGTTTTGAGGAGCATTAGGTGGACTTATATATTTATCTACAAAGTCATAAGTTTCTGATGTTTAAATGCATGATGACAAATCCCTGTTTGATAAATGCAAGCCAGTTCTATACAACTGTATAGAACTGTAAGTGTACATATTCTCTTGGAATGCAAATGCAATTTTAAAATTGGCTACTCTGACAAGCAGATTTATCAGTAACTTGAAAGAATATTTTGTTGTCTCTTAAAAATATGTACACTTTGTAGCTTTAAGAAAACTAAGTTACCTCCCTAGCACCTTTTACTGTACAAAATTTACACACTTAAGAGCACACTCTTCTTGCCTCTTTACCTAAAGTGCATGTGAAATAGAGGAGAGAGAAAATGGAGAAACCTTGGTTAGAACCAGAAGATGTTAAGAGCTCCGGAATACAGTAACTGTTGCACTGGGATTACTGTACAGTTTCCCTCATAACATGGCCCTCGAGGTTCTGCTCAACAGTGGCATCCACTTTGACAGAAGAGAAAAATAATTACCCTTGTCTCCTGTCTACTGAATGTGGACAAGTTATCCCTTAAGCCAAATAAGTAGGGCTAAATGTTCCAAGCTGTGGCATGGAACACAAAAATGGAAGCAGTAATCAATATAAGCTCTCTATAGTCTCATCTCTTTCACCTTAACAAAGGTAAGCATTAGAACAGCAGGACTTCTAAAGCTCTGAGAGAGGTTTTTTAAAAATTGTCAGTCTGATACTTAAGACTTTTTTAAGATAAAATAATCAAATATCGTTAGCTTAACTACTTATTTTAATATTCTTCTTAAAATTTGGAAATAAAGATGACAGTTCACGATTTTAATTGGTTTCAGCTACAATGAGAAGGAACCGTTTCTCTTAATGGAATATTTCTACAGTTTTACTGAAATACTCAGCTTTATCAAACATTTGTTTCTACAAACGTGAATTTGGGTCAAATCTGAGGTGAGAGTCTTACGAATAGCTACTTTGTCAGAACGCTTGTAGAGTGAGGCGTGCTGCTAGCAGCCAAGTCACTGGGGAATTCACATAGTCTTCATCATGAACAGAAACTTCAGCAACGTCACTCCTTTTAAAAGCAAACCAGAAGATATTATTTTCCTTGTACAGATAATGCTAAATTACCTTAGAAAGTCAAAGGAATTGATTTATACATTTGGGAGTGTATGTTTAATATGGAAATGTGTTGAGTGAAGACAGTATTTCCATTTAACATCCTTCAGACTCTCTCTCCCATTCACTTGGTAAAGCAGCTTTTTCACAACGTTTCCTCCAGTCTTACATTCTTCCATAGGAGATTTCCTCTCTCACCTGCTAAGAGCAGTCTCTGTGTGATAGGTTGTCAACTACATGGTTTCTTCTCTGGATTGTGAGAGATTCAATTGTTTTATGTGCCTGTTCCAGTTGGATCTTTAAACCTTCATTGTCTGCCTTTAGAATGTTTCTTTCCTAAACAAAAACAAAAAAAAAAAAGAGAGAATGGTATTTTATTTTGCATGTTTCAGGACTGTCTGGTTGTATGTTTGGGTTGACTGGCATAAACGTAAGTAGCTCTTATCAGTGGAACAGAACCAGTAATTTATTTGAACATTTCCATAGTCACTGGTCTATCCTGTGTGTGTACTCTTAAAACTTCCCTGCAGCTGGTGTCTGACAGCCATGTCCACAACCTGCATTTATCCACCCTCCTCTGCTCCTCTCATGACAGCAGTAATCTAGGGGAAACAAGAACACAGCTCACTTTACTGCTCTACTAATGCAGAAATCAATGTACAATAATCTAAAACATTAATTTGTAACATCAGCTGCTGTTCAGTAATGAGGTCACGATCTGCTGAGGGAGCAAGGACAAGTGTAAATTGTGGGAGTTACATGAATGGGACATTTTAAAGAACCAGATCTTACAAGTACAGCCACAGTTTACATCCTTGTCTATACTGAATGTACTGTTGACTGAAAGAGAAGTCTGTACTGGAAGGTTCTTGCTAATTGTCTTAATCTCAGTGTTAATAAACCAATTATCTTTCATAAAAGATAAGCTCACTTTATCAACAGCAAAGGATGCTTTGAAAGTTATATTGATCATTCAAAGATCAGGCTGTGGTCCTGTTGTTGGACTGTTTCCATGTTGGTCCATCTCAGAATAGTGATAATAATGAGTAAAGTAGGAAAATAAGTCTGCGTTTGTTCCTCATAATCATATCTGGATCTATCCATCAGTTGTGTTGTTGATACTGTGATAATCTCTTTAATCTGTCTGGAAAGGTGTTGTTTCTACAAACGTGAATTTGAGCCAAATCTGAGGTGACTCGGTCTTATGAGTAGCTACTTTGTCAGAACACTTGTAGGGTAAGGAGAGCCACAACTCGGCTGATGCATGTGAAATCTAGGAAGAAACACTATGTCTCTTGACACACCAAAATTTCTTGGTGACTTGAAGTTGTCAAAAAAAAGAGAGAGATTCACTGTCCATTGAACAAAAGCAGAGCTCCCTGCCTGCCCTGTATATTCTGTCACTTAGGGGAGCAGAGACCAACAAAAGCAGGAAGATATTCAGGACTATGCTACTTGTTTTATGGAGTAACATCCTGTCCTAAGCGATTGGATTATGGCCACGTTCTTGTCTGTCACTTTTAAGACTGACAAGGATCAGTGTAATCTTAACAAGAGCTTCAAAATTTATTCCCTAAGTCCTATACTAGTACTAAAATTTATGCTTAAAGTGAAGCGTTGCTGGAGTTAAAGTGGCTAAGAGCTTTTGATGCTACTCATGGATTGTTCTGGCAATTAATTACCCTGGAGTAAGGTAACACTTTCCCACCCAGCCACTCCCCCACATCCTCCAACCACTTTATGGTACTGTTGTGTAAAACAGAATTTGTTTCATCATGTATGTACCTGCTCAAGCTCCTGGTATGAGGGTTTACAGCTGTGATGCTCTTCTTTCATTTTCTGGCTGGAGTCCTTGTTTTCCCACTTAACATACGCCTTTTTGCGGCCTAGAAATGGGCTTGGACATGGGGATGGTGGAGCTGCCTGGAGATAAGGGTTTTCTGGCATCCTATGTTCTTTCTTCTCTGTCTGTCTACGAGATACCTCACCAGCCAGCAGTACAGGATCGGTCTGTGTACCTTTATGAACCACAGCTGGTTTCAGTCTCACTGAGATTTTCTGAGCTGAGGAACCCATGAGCATAATGGTTCGGTCCTTGCTGTCTTCATGGTGTTCCACTGCTTCTCCATTAGGAAATGTGAACAGTCCTTCTTCTTGCCCTGTAGAATATATATGATAAAATGCATCAAGATCTTTTCCCAGGAAAGGATAAACAAGAGGCACAGTAATTAAACATGATTTTAATAAATAAAACAACATTTACTCTTTATTGATTTTACATTCATTGCTCTTCAAAATAGGTGTCACTGGAAGTTTCTCGATGTTGCGTCTCTTGGAACAACTCTTTGCCTTGTCTCAGTAACATAAATATGGATCAGTAAGAGGAAAACATCAAGGGTGCACATCAAGGTCAGCTAGAGAAAAACCTCTTGATGGCTCAGAGGTTTTATATAGACCGTTGATCTTAGTGATGGGGCTGGAAGATTAAACCTGGGTGTTTAGTTCAGTATTATCACAACTTACAGCTGTAAGATACAACTTACCCACTTTATAAAGGTGAAACAATGACGTACTTAATTTTACATTGCTTTTGTATAGGTCATCCTAAAATACTTTTACTTTTGCAGTTAAAAGTAAAAACTGAGGTGAGGGGAACCCCACAATGTTAGAAGAAGTGGGCAAAAGATGTGATCAAAGGATTTTAAAAAGACCTGTTTCAGATAAAGTAATTTCCGTTGTTTGGGAGAAAACAAAATGAGACTGCATGTTCAAACACATAAAGGGAAAAGAACAGAGTCAGTCCAGTAGCTGCTGCAGGCTCTGGAGAATTAAATAAGGATGTGCATGAACAGTTGAGGCTTACACCTTCAACCCAGACCTGAATTCTCATTCTTCGACATGACGTAGCATTGAGAGATACCGTGTTCTGGCGCACCGGGTGATGACGGGGCAGTACGCTACGGTTCAGTCTCTCTATAAGCATGACATCCCACGAGGTGGTTATTACACAGTGCTGCAGCCACTGCAGGTGCAACCACAGAGATGCACATGGTCAGTTATCAAGAGAAATTGGCTGTATTGCGCTCCACATAAGTGCTAACAGGAAGCCTAAGATGAATCCAGCAGTATGAACCTTAAATACAACACAGAAGATTGATACCAAAGTGGCAAGAAGTAGATTTGAAGAACATTAGATACAGACAAAGAGCAGGAGAGAAATTCAAAGAAAGTGAGTATGGAGAGAGATGGAAATCATCAAAAATCAAAAGAGAAAAAAAAACAAAACAAAAGTAGCCTGAGGTCTTACTCAAGGACAACACTTCCTCCTTTGGAGGCCTACACGGTAATACACAATATGAAAAGTTTATACAGCTTGTTTGATAGAAGGAGAAAGGAACAGAGAGGTCAGAGAGGTGTAGATTTTTCATTTCCAATTAAATTAAAGATGGATGGACGAAGAGGAGTTGTAGATCCAGCTACTGAAGTGGAAAAAATAAACACAATTAGCTTTTGCTCTTCCTAGCACACAGATACGTAAGTAAACTGACTTTATAAACTCTACATCAAAATCTGAGTCAGAATGGTAACAGTACAGTAGTCGCTTAATGTGGCAACAGTGGAAAGAACTGGTGTGGACCAAGACCTGTTTGTCACAAGGCGAGAGAGTTAAGGGAATCTCTCATCTGTTCAGTTCATGGCACGTAGTTCTCATGAGAGTCTGGCAGAAGATTTACTCAGTTTTTGTGGAATTTGTGCACCACATATTGTGTGGTGTGACATGAGATCTCGCAGAAAGGAAGTCCCTACTCAGGCTAGAACTGGAATGGTATTACTTGGTAAAGGCTCACTTACACTTGGTTCTAGTTTATATGTTGATAAAACACTGCTGTTAACTAACAAAACCTAAAACAATGCTGTACAACTCAGCTTTAAAAGAAAACGGAGCAAAGGAAAGACTGTGATCTCTTCTCACCATGGAATTGCTCTTTGACTCCTACTGGGCAGAGGCTTGAAGGAAGAGTTGATGTTGGGCTGCTGTCTGCAACTGAAGTTTTGGGTCTTCTCTTGCACTCTATCACAACCAGGTCTTTGCATTGCTTGTGGCAGTTCATTCCACAGTCTGTAAACAAAACAAAGTTTATGTGATTCAGTGGCTCTGTTGTAGTGTCTAAGACCAGCTCTCACACAGTGCTGCCTCTCCAGGAATCAAGAAAGCTTCTTTGGTGTTCTCTACGTTTATTACCCTGTAACAACATACATCTGGTAAGCAAACCAACAACATCCCTTTGCTATACATGCCTAAATCTCCTTTTCATTGTGAAAACACAAAATAGCAACATTCAATCTCAACAGCATTCTGACTCTAGGGGTTGCAGAGAAAGCAGGTACCTGTATGAGAAAGAAAACTCTGCAAAACACAAGTTGTGAATGTGCTGCACAGTTTTCACACAGTGTTGGTGTTTCCGCCCATTGGAATAGAGGGTCTGTTCCCAATCCCTCTGAATTCAGTGCTGTTTTGCAAAGGGTTACTATCAGTTAAAAGTCCCTTCATCTTTGCGTTTCTTCTGGACCATCTATCTGTTATACTATTCTTGAATCAGTCTTCTCCCTGAGAGATCAGATTAAATAGGTCCATAGACATAGTAATGGATCTCAGGATGATCAGGTTTTTTTGTCATTCACCATCAATTATAGATTAAAATTAACAAAGTATAAAGTATCTTACCTTTGCATCTGTATCCTTGTTTAATGACTCCCCATAGCTGAAATTCAAACAAACAGAAAGACTATGTATTAATAATATATTTCTCTACACATTTGATACCTCCAGATATAAAAAGCCACTAACAGCTCCACTAATTTCTAAGATCTGAGCACCTGCAGAATATCTTGATTTTCTACCCTTTTAATGGTAAGGTCAAAATATGAACTATTTACCTCTTTAGTATAAGGTAAACAAAATATTTTATGTGTTCCTCAATCACAAACAAAATATCTTGAGCTGGTCTCTAATGAATACATCAGCAGATCTGACAGCCCCCAGATAAGCTGTGGAGGTGGAGTCGATGGAGGATTCTATCTGAGTATCCTTGTTTGATCCCAGCTAAACTGGGAATTGGTTGGACAGTCAGTTTTACTAAATCTTTCTGTGCCACAGGCAGGGGGCATGTCATGTCTGTGCCAGGACATGAGTTCTAACAGCCCCATGGAGTGGAAGGCTCTGGATTTGGATGTCTTGCCTGAGGCTGTGTTTGGTGACATAACTGAACACCACAAAGTAGGAGCCATGTTTAAACAGATAATAATACTGCCAAGAAGGGTGTAAAGGGCACCTTAAATAGCTACATAGGCAGAAGCCTGGTGTTCTGTATAGCTTCATTGGTGTTTTCACACAGAATCACAGAATGTTAGGGATTGGAAAGGACCTCAAAGGATCATCTAGTCCAATCCCCCTGCCAGAGTAGGACCACCTAGATCAGATCACACAAGAACGCGTCCAGGCGGGTTTTGAACATCTCCAGAGAAGGAGACTCCACAACCTCTCTGGGCAGCCTGCTCCAGTGTTCTGTTACCCTTACTGGGAAGTTCTTCCTCATGTTTAAGCGGAACCTCCTATGTTCCAGGTTACATCCATTTCCCCTTGTCCTATCATTTATATAGATCTATTTCTGTATATGACACATGGTGATTACAAGATTAAAAAAAACATCATTCCAAACAACGTTAACATAATTTACTAAAGAGTAAGCTTACAAATCCAGCACAGTTGTCGCAGAAAGTAGGCCTTAAGTAAGTGGTCTCCTGGAAGTTGTGAGCAAAGCCAAGTCCTAATTTGGAATAGATTGAGCTAGCCCTCATAAAGTAAGCTGTTATTTCATCCCTGCTAATCAGACCTTCCCTGAAAATAAACAAGAAAAGTTGTTTGTAAGACATGCATTTTCTTAAAAGCATAAGGAGAATTAAACATATCTTTCTTCACAATTTATAATGGCAATAGTTTAATGGGCCAAAACCTACAGTGATCTCAGTAATCTTGTCAGCTGTTCCCAAAGTCTACAGAAGCTTATCTACACATTTAAAATGCAGCCTGTAAGGATAAACGAAATATCTGTATATGTGATGCAACCTCAAAACTACTTCATAGAAAACCTCTGAATAATCACTATTGTATTTTTCAATGCTTTAATATGTTAAGAAAAATATTCTTAATTTGACCAAAATATACATTTGCTAATTCTTTATTTTTGAGAGACAGGTTCACCTTAGGAAAGTTCCTTAGTAGTACATACTGAATATAATTAAAAAAAAATATTTATTTTTCTATTATCTGTTCTTCCTCCCACATCAGCCTAGTTACCACTGCTGTAAGCTCATGAAGATGTCATTCACAACACATATAGAAGACACTTTTGTCAGTTATGTTTTCATTTCTATTTGTGGATGAAGAGGATGATTTTACTACCCTAATGATAGAAATAAAATTTTTAAGAAACAACCCCAAATTCCCCCCCAAAACAGACGCTACAAAGCTGATAGCAGAACTAGGTACTCACCAGTCCTTAGCCATTACACAAAATGAGAATGGAAAACTGGCAGCTATCTTTTCAAAATCTTCCTGGGAAATGTATCCATCCTGATCATGGTCATAATTTTTGAAGACAGACTGTGCAAGATAATAGTAGAATAGTTTATAATGAGGACGGGCTGAATTATCACTTTAGAAAGTCTCCACAATACTTATGGATTTCCCCTTCCGCTTTCTCCCAGCATCTATTAAACAGCACAACAGTCTAACTGCTTTTTTTTGCTTGGTACAACTACAGAAGCATTATGATTTCTTGATTTGTAGCAAAATGTAGATAAGTCAACATTGGCTGGACTAAATGCTTCACTGCACAATGACAGCTCATTTTCAGTTTTGCTTTAAGATCATTATATCCAGGCCTACACAGACAACTTGTACTAATGCTCTCAACTCGTGCTCTCAGTGATGATCTCTTTGCCAAATCACTTATTTCATCAGATCAACGTTATGTGAAAAGTAGTTATATGACAGAATTGTCAATGTAGACATCTGTTTCCAACTGTGGAACAACATCCCTGTTTGTCTCTGGCCCTAAGGCAAGGAGCACACCTAGGCCAAATTTAGAAATATATTCCAAAACAGCATGTATCAAAGGATACCTAGCAGTACTGAAGTGCTTAGAAAGAAAAGAGATGAAGCAGGGATGCTAAGACAAACTCTTTACACCTCTCTGTCCATCAGTTTTGGAACCAATCACCTGAGCTTACTTGATGGTTCCCAGTAAATCAAGTGACCAACTGAGAGAGAAAAAGCAATGGCTGCTAGTAACAAAGCCATTGAGAAGCCCGCTTTCAGACTCCACCAATAACATGATGTTGGAGTCTCTGGTAGAAAGAGACTCCCTGGCTCCTTGGAAGAACAACTCTGGAAGTATACAAACCAGCATTCATGCTCCCTGCTGGTTCCTTAGCCATTTAAGGAATTTCCTTCCATGCCTCACCGGCCACTGCTGCAATTTACAGCCAGGCAGAAGTATCTGTTTGTGAGGACAGAAGTGCTTACAAACTCAGCACAGCTTTGAACGTGTCCAGTATTTTTTCCCTTCTTTGTATCTTCTCACACCAAGAGATTAAGGCTACGGCTGACAGGTAAGGTAAACGGGCCAGCCATACTTACATCTACCATCCTCTGAACATGTTTGCTGACGGTTTTTGGATCGGGTTTTGGGGCTACTCCTGAGGCCCAGTCTGCAACTACTGGTGGTCTGGAAGGTGTCAAAGGCTAGAATGAATTGAATGGAACTTCATTAGTACCACATGGAAAGATTTTCAGTATTACACTTCTTCCATTTGTGACAACGGACTATGTGATACAGGACTGCAGAAAGAGCCTGTTGGACCCAACATCATACTTTTGATACATGGTACTTCAGAGGAAGCTCTTCCTTGAACTGTCCAAAACAGTGGTAGTTCCTTAAACTGTCACAGTTCACTGACAGGCCTGTAAATTCACCATCTTTTCCATATTTATAGAACAAGAACAAAACTACAATAACAGCACTCCTGCGTTTCATCATTTGAATCACATAAGAATTCTTCATTTAAAAGAACCAGTATCAATTGCCAAGATTGAGCCCAATGTCACGTATCTACTAACTTCATTTGTATTTGTGTTCATATTATAAAACCTGATACAGTGTCAACTCTCCCATATATTCTAGCTTAGGCTTCACCATGAACCAAGTAATTTATGCTTTAACAGATTTTTCTCAGTCTATGAAGCTGAAAAGTTTTCAATTTAGCATACAAAAAACAAATTGAATGCAAGAGATAAGAGTTACATTACTCAAAAAAAAAAAAATCTTTAAGAATTTGGAAGGGCCCTTACGGCAGCTCGGTGACTTCGTGGCTCTCGTGCATATGAAAGTTCATAAATTTCATCTTCTGTGTAGTAAAGATCAAGGGACAGCTAAAAACAAACACAAGATTAGTTTAATCCCAAAACAGTCACTACTACTCGATAAACTTGTTCCTGGCATGCATTAGTATTTCTGGGTGGATTAATTTTTAATTTGGGTTGCACCCAGAAAAAACGCAGTTGAGCTACACAGATGTTCACAGTGACGTGAAATGAGTACATTTCTAAATTCCAGACTGTTATTGCCATTATCTGGAAATCTGTAACATTACACATGTACAGTCATTATCACAGCAAGAGACTGTAGGCATAATTAACAGTCAGTTAATAAGTAACCTGAAAAAAACCTGTTACTCCCATAATATTCAAGTGGTCTATCATGCAACTAAGCACAAAAGCACCATTCCAATGAAACCGTTCGTCAACTCAAATTCTCAGAAATTCATGTTTAATTCTTGTTTAAACATGTCATATTTATCCAATGCAGCTGCAACCATGTTGAACTAAGAAGTATATGATGATAATAAAAGATGGACTTGTATGTATTTAGTGAGAACCTTTAGCTGTCAACAGCAGTTATGTAAAGCAAGAAACATTACGCCTGAGTAAATACAGGAATTTGAAAAAATCATCAATTTTCTACCTTTGCTTTTGCATAGTTCCTGGAAAATAGTACAGCAAATATTTCATTGACTGGAAACAAATTTCAAGCTAAGATTGAAGGCTGGTAACGTGACACTTTTTGAATATTTACATGGAAATATTCACACTAGACATGTAATTGAATAGAAACGCCAGATGTAAATGTGTTACAAGCCTCAATCTATGGCAAGTCCAAAGAAAATATAAACTTGTTACAGAGAGTCAGGATTGCAGCAGTCATATGTATAGAATCATAGAATCATAGAATGATTAGTATATAAACTAAGTATATAAACTTAGTATATAAACTAAGAAACCAAAATATGCAATTTTGTCCAATGAATCACCTTACTGAAATTGCAATAACCTTCTTGTGAACAACTGCAAGAATTACTGTTGTAGTCACAACAGTGAATAATTTTAGATTATTGAGGGAAACTTAAGCAATTTCTGACACTCAAAAAACAAAAGTCCAAATGTTACAATACTCCTATGAATTACTGACTTATGCACATAATTACTATTACCTCTTCAAACTGATTTCCCTGCTAATGGGAAAGCATATGACTAATGGAAACAGAAGGAGAAATACTGTTGGAAAAATCAGGAAACAAACAGGAAAATTATGTGCCCTGGAACATTAGAAGATTAGAAGCTCCCACTTTGAAATGAACTATTTCTTTTTATTTATGTCCTGTCATACATAGCTGCATGAAAGCTGGAGAGGGACTTTTTACAAGGGCTTGTAGTGATAGGACAAGAGGCAATGGTTTTAAACTGAAAGAGGGCAGATTTCGATAGGATCTAAGGAAGAAATATTTTACAATGAGGGTGGTGAAACACAGAAACAGGTTGCCAAGAGATGTTGTGTATGCCCCATCCCTGGAGGTGTTCAAAGCCAGGCTGGATGAGGTTTTGAGCAACCCGATCTAGTGGAAGGTGTCCCTGCCCATTGGAACTAGATGATCTTTAATGTTGCTTCCAACCCAAACTATTTTATGATTCTATGAAATTGTGACCAAAGTTCTACCATTTGTAATAGTCATTTCTATAAAACACTATTAAAAAAAAAAATAAAGAAAAAGGGACTTACAATAATGTGAGACAAAACATTTAAAACATTTAGCAGGAAGAAATTCACCACTTTATGTAGCTCTATTTCAGACTCTGGGCATACGTGCTTAATTTCACACACGAGTGCTCCCAGAGAACAAATAACCTCAAGCACATAAGCATTTTTATCTATTAGCTTTTTGCTGAAACAGGGCCTGTAACCAGAAAGTGAAAACAGCCTATCTAATTTTTCCCAGCTGAGGTACTTGTTAAGGCCAAACAAAACTGAGAAACAAAAAAGGTAGTTTTACTATTTTAATAAAAGGTAGTATTTATAACTTAGTAGGAGAAGCTAAAACTATTGTTGTGACATACGTCCTAGGTAGTATCTATTTTGTTAGTAACATGGCACTGACTAGATATGACTGGAAAAGTAATACAACAACCACATTTGACTAACATTTATGTCAGACATTTTTTTTAGTACTAGAAGAAACTTGGCTAGAAATGTGATATGTTTAACCCTACGCATCTTGAGGGACTGAACTTTTATTTGAAAGTTAGTGTGTTCAACCCAAGTGTCATGGTTTGATGTGTGTGGGGGAGGTTCTGGTGGCAGAAGCTGCCCATCAGAATGGACTCCCATCCCCCTCGGGGCTTGAGCCAATCGGCGCCTCTGTGAATTGCCCTATTTACGTCGGACAAAGGAACCGGAAAGGTGTGCTTGTGCCCAGGAGCAAGGAGAGGGGAGGGGGGCACTGCCCCCACTCCCCAGCCCCCGGCCAGGCCGTGGCCCGGGCCAGGCCGGTGCCACCCGCTGAGGATGGTGGCGGCGGAGCCGCTTGGGGAACCTGGGGGGAGGCCCGCTCCCGGGGTGCCCACCGGGCCGAGTTCACCCAGAGAGGACTGAGATCTGAGAGAACCAGCCACACCGACACCAGGTCAGTGAAGATGGAATGGGACGAGGTGTCCTGGAGCTGAGTTTCCCCTGCAACCGGTGGCAAGACGGCAGGTGGCCCCCTTGCAGCCATGGCGGGCCCGGGGGAGCAGAGACCCACTCACAGCCTGTGGAAAGCTTTGTATGCAATCTTCTGCCTCCAAGGTGCATCTAAGGAAGCTTTCTATTTTTCTCTCTATTTAGGCTTAATCAGCAGAAGATTCAGAGCACTTCCTTACTGAAAGTACAGACAGAATGCCTACTACTATAGTGAAGCAGAAAAAACCATTTTGTTTCCTTCCCCTATAGAAATAATTGAAAGCATACTGCTGAACTGGCATCTCTACCCTTGCTTCCAGTTCAATCAGTATCACTAACTTTTTCTCTTCTATTGTACATTTCCTTAAGGAAAAAAAAATATATATTCTTACAATATTATGTATTTATAATTAATGGAATTCTCTACTTAGTTGTTTGAGAGGTATATTAAATTATTTTTAAAATGGAGGTATTTATCTCATCTAACAGACTTACTGTAAGCAAATGAACAAGATCCATATTAGCCTCCAGGGGAAGTGGCATTTCCTGGAGTTGTATCAGCTCATTTATGTGGTTATATAGAGAGTATAGTTTGTATATGTTAACTTTTTTGTCCTCTAAGTAGTCTGGCATGCCCTCATAAAGTGATATCAAATCTTTCAGGTGGACCCCAAGGATTGGGATCTTAAAGTTACTGCACTCATTATAGGCACGTCGGTAACTATCGTAATTTCTGTAAGATGAAAGCAGTTCTGTCATTTCATTAAACACCTAAAAATAAAAAGAAAACAAAAAATCAGAATTGATGACTTTTTTTGTTCTTGTCATACAGCACAAGAATTTCACATATTATTGTGAAGGGGTTTACTCACAATGACTCTTGAAACAGATTTTAAAACTTTAGGCTTCCAATGAAATCCATGTATTCACTTCACCTAATTTAACTATAATATGTAATTATAGATAGTTAATCTATAGCCTAATCTATAATGCTGGTCTTCCCACATGCCCTATTCAGTCAAAGAAAACAAATAGAATCCTCTCAAATCAAGGGGATGTGTATGCAGTTAATGCTCAAGAACAGCACAAGCTCTCTGACCTTCATAAAAGCAACCATCTTCATCTTAAAATGTGGAATGCTCTTCTCTGGCTTCCAGGTCACCAGCTGGAATTGCTCGAATTGGAAAGTCCTGGCAGAGAAACCCTACGCTATGCTATGGTCCCTTCTCAGTGTGACCGAAACTTCTACTACAGTTCAAGGTAGCACATCTGTGCTTTTAAGAAAATATTTTTTTGCATGGAAATGAGGAAGAAACAATATATTGGACTTATAAAGGCTTATTAAGTCTAGCAGTATAAATATTTTCCTTGTGTAAAACTATACAGGTACGAAGCTGACTTTTAACATTATAAAAATCAATGGACCAATGTTTCCTTGTGGAAGTTCCTGTCTAACCCCTTGATTTTTAACCTTGACAAACTGTTATAGTTAAACTTTAAAGTGTGTTCTCTAGTCACCAATTACCAGCCTTCATTTACCTGCTTTCTATTAGCACTTGTATACAATTTGTCAATAAAAATAGTTATTCAAATGATGAACACATATGCAGTCCACTCCTCATAATGACAAAATTTGTAGAACAACATGCTTTTAAAATAAGCTTGCTAACTTGTTTTATAGATCCTGAGAGCTGCAACCAGTATCAGTGAGAGGTCTTACTTCTGGTCTATATTCCAGGTATGCACTGTTCATTCAAGCTGATCATACTGTGATCAAAACAGGTTCGTTAGATACCTATACGAAATCTTTCAGGCCCCAAACAAGACACAGTAATAAAGCATATTAGTCTCTTAAGAAGAAGTCTCTTAAGAAGCCATTTCACCGCTAAAAAAACATTTTTGCCTTAAGGAATTCAATTTTAGTAGGCAGAATCTCAGCAAAAAAAATATATCCATCTGTATTTCACAAGAATTTAACCGGAAATTACAAGTGATTTCTAACATTCCAGTGTTATAATGTGTGTGTATTAGGGCTAAGTTTGTTCAAGTCTGAACTAGATAAAAATCTGTTACAGGAAAAGATCAGATGAACAAAACCAGTCCTTTCAGTTTTAAACTCAAAGTGCAGACCTCTGTGCTAGCATTTCACAGACTCAGGATGGTCAGTTTTGCTATGGATGACAATAGTTTTGTTCTCAAATGTTCTAGGATCCAATTTTCTGCTTTCGTGTTTGAATGCTATTCTGTACTACTGCATATAAATGAAAATGCAGCTTGTCAGATCTGAGTATTAAAAGAGAAATTTTAGAGAAGCTATACAAATCTTTAAGAAAAGTGGGGTTGGAAGTGTAGGAGTAACTGGCGTCGTAGAGATGAAACAACAAAGAAAAATCCTCCAAAACCAAAGGAAGTCTTCCTTTTTCTTTTTTTCTTTCTCTCCATCTTAACCAATGAAGCAAGGTTGTTTTTTGTGTGTGCAATAACAAAAAAGTTAAAGGTTATATTATTTGTAAAACTTAAAGGCACGACACCAACCTTAATTACATCATGAGGAACACAGGAGCTTGTTTCCTTGAGTCTGGAAATGGAACTGTGACAGAGACCTCCTATCACTGCCATTAACGTATTGAAATTTTGCAGCTGGTGGAGCTTCTGTGTTGACATACAAAAAAAAAAAAAAATCAGAATTTATTATTTAAAGCTTCAAGTTGTTCAATATACACATCCAAATTCTACATTTCCTCTGTTGTCTTCCTCTGAAGTCTTACAGATTTTGTGCCATTATCCATTTGGCTTCATTCATTTTGGTAATGAGTTGTGATTTTACTGGATGTAACTTATTCTGGTTACTGGTATTGATGTATACTTATTCTACTGTTATTAAACCAGACATTAAGTCTGCAGATATAGTAAGTCTTCAAAGTACTTCCTCAATACTTCTTCCTCTTCCTATTGTCTACCACAACTAGGAAACACTGCCTATTATCTTGGTTATGGCTGCAGTTGAATTAGTGTGCAAAGAATACCAACAGGACCATAGCTCAGCTTCTGTCCAGTAGGGCGTATCTCATAGGAATGCTTCTAAGTACAGTCAAATGCATGATAGTGGTTCGTACTTTGGAAAGGTATGCAGTCACAGCTTGGAGTCTCACCAGCTGATTCAAAGGCAAGTCTAGTTTTTCAGTGAAAATAACTTCTTCAAAAGGATACGAGAAAGTCATGGTGTCATGATACTGTAATATCTGAATAGCTGGTATGAAACCAGAGCATACACAAATACGCACGCTGTACATATGAATCAGGAGACCAGTGCCAACACTCCCAGCTGACTCTACAGCAGGAGCGTGAGAAGAGCAACTAAAGGGCTGTACCAGAAAAAGACAAAATAAACACCACACATGTCAAAATTTAACTGACCTGTGCAACATGAATGAACTTGATGAACACTTCAGCCCGAAGCTGTGGTGTTGGTCTGCTGAGAACCATTAGCTGCACCCACTGAGAGATACCATTGCAAAGAGCAATGGATCTTTCCATTGTTGGATTCTCCTTCACACAACTATTCACAATGTAGTTCTGATAATCTAAGAACTTGAAAAAAAAATAGTGTAAATGAAAACTCATCTACAGTTTCATACACCTCATGATCTGTGTGCAGATACAGGTTTGCTTTTCAAATGAAACATACAAGATATATTTCACACCTTAAATATCCAGAAGACTGAAATATCTCCTTTGTCACAGCTTTGTTCAGTCCAAAGCTGAAGCATTAAACTAACTGAATTAACTGAAAGCACCTTTTTGCCATAACTTGTATCACATCATTTGCACCATGTATATTTCAGAAGCCTTGGCTCTTATAAACCCTAGAATGAGTAGAATTGGGACTTTCCTCCCAGCCCCAGTGGCTCCATAGATTCATTGAATCTAGGCCTCTACAGGGAAGGTTAAATTGAATTTAAAGTGTAACCTAGTAACTTAGTGATAGTTTAAGGAAGTTTAAGCAAGTGTTCAGTTTATGTAGCTACGGCACACTTCTGAACTAAGCTACACTTATACAAAAACTAAGTTCAATGAGATAAAGCTATTAAGAATGAGGGCTACGGATTCTTTAACATTTTTAATACGGCTTATGAGATTCTCTTATTTCATCAGAGTGATCTAAAATTGTTCTGTAGACATCTATATGTGACAGATTTTTCTTAAGCCATTCTTCCCATTAAGATCAAAGAGAAGCAATCATTTGTTTTTGTTGATGCAATGTTTATCCATTCTCTTGATTTATCCATTAACAAGAATACACAAGAATTTGAATCATCAGAAAATGTGACACAGGATTTATACTATGACCACTAATATCACATCTTACCAAAACCATTCATAGCTGTAATAGACATATATTCCTTTCTTAAGGCCACAGGAATATGCTGAATGCATTGATCCTTAAGAAAAGGTCATGAATTGTCAGGGTGCTGCTTGTTTCTTGCTCTCCCTCTCTCACTTTCTCTCCACTACCTTTTTTCCATCCATTTGATAAGAACTACTAACACTTTAAAAAGCAGATACGAAAGTAGACATGTCTGGATTTGTCCTCTTATTAAATTAGAAGTGGAGGAAACATTAACAGTAATAAGTAGAGCTGTCTCTGAGATTACATAGTACTTACTTACAATTATTGTTTGAATTTTGAACCCCAGCCAGATTTGGCTGGATCTGGAAATTTAACAAACTACTCTATACAGATAGATACTTTTTCAACATCTGACTACATAATTATGGACTTCATGGCAGTTTCAGTACAATTATGAATCAGTTTGATTAGTTTATATTTTATTCTCAGCAGCTCTCTCCTTCAGAATTTTTTTTTTAAATGCTGAACAAATTTATATCTAACATACTACTTAAAAGTTTCGAAATAATTTTAGTGTAAGAATTTATTAATGAGGTCAGCTGTAACAAGATTATTATGGCAGATACAGTAAAGAAGTCCAGGTACTTAAATAATGCAAGAGTCTGGTATTGCAATGACTAACTTATGAGCCTCAACAGGAAAGCAGAATTCAGATTCTTACAAAAGAGTGTAGCCTCCCTGCATTTTATAACTATAAATTAAAATGGTTTCCAAACACCAGCATACCTGCAGTCATTACTCTGTGAAAAACACTGCCTGCATTTTTCTTTGCTGCAAGATACACATTTTCTTATGGAAAATTTTGCTGTGTGCTGTACATGTTCAGGGAATTAAGTATTCCTTTCTGACTTTCAAATGACCGAACCTACAAATAGTTATTCCAGTGACTGATAACACAGCAGGTCACCTGCAGCCTTTCTCCCAGTATATACTGCCATGTTAGACTAACAAAAGGATTCTGTGGCTTAGCATATCATGAACACATTCTGCAAAAAGTTAATGAATATAGCTATTGATTAATTATAATACACATTATTTTCTGATCTGAGGTCTCAGTAAACTCAATTTATACCAAAACATATGCAGGGACCCTGAATATAAAATGTACATAAGTATGTAGCTCTTGGAACACTATGACACACCTGACACTCTGACGGCAATCATACTTGTTATGCTCATTAATCGTTAATTACTTTATGTCTGCACAGAGCTTGAAAATGTTAAGAGTTATATAAGCTTTGCATATTATTACTGCCTACAGGCAGCAATCTGTGCATGACTTTGGTTCTATGGCTTTTTGAATTTAACACAAAGCATGAAGAGTCATGTACTGTCAGCTCAAAATAAAGTTAACACACGACTCTGAAATCTTCCGCAATCTATTGAGAGGCCCTTTCCTTGCAACACTTCATCTTCAAATCGTAGTGTTTCAAAAAAACCCCCACTGTATAACCAAAAAAACCCCAAAAAACCCTAAACCCCCCATTTTGCTTTCACTGTTATGATCACACTGACTTCGCAAACATCTTAGATTTTGTTCTCTAATGTTCACTTTTTCTTTTCCATGTGTGAACTGTATCAGGTTTGAATAGAAGTAATGTTGTAGCATACAAGGATGCAAGTGAAGCCAAGGCACATAGAGAAGTTAGCATCTTATCAGCTACCAACCTAGCTGAGAAAACAAGCAAATGAAAGAAAACATAAATGAGATAAATCCTTAAGAATTGTTTGTGTACTTGAAAGCTTGTTCTAATAAAATATTTTAAACTCCCCTTACATTTAAAAATGGTATTTTCTCAAGTGCTTTCTTATCCCTAGTCTTTATTTTGTAATGCACAATCAAAAATGGCAAGCAGAGTCCAATGGACATCTTCTATACAGACAGTCCATTAGTCACTGCACAAGAATGCTGCAGTTTCCTACAGCCACAGGAGGTTAGCATTCTAGGGGAATATTCCAAGTTTCCTTCATCCCATTTCAGCTTGTGTACTGAGTCAAGTCAAAGGAGGTTGCTTGTTCCTGTGCCAAATGACACCACTCGTTCTAACAAAAAGAGATTATTTGGAAGAAGATCAAATGGTTTATTCCTCTCCTTCCAACTGACCTGGCCCTGACTCTGTCCCACAGTTGCTTAAAAGGTTCACTCTTTCTCTCTGAAATGACTGCAGCAAAAGGATACGTACCCAGAATAAGTACCACTGGCCACCTTCAATACTAGTAAAAGTACAGACTAAGCTTGTCCAACAGCTTGCACTACAGAATTAATCCTGTAATACTACCCCTCTCCCATCTTTTCTTCATCCTTCCCATCTTTGTTTAAAATAAATCAATAAGTAAATAAATAAGTAAATAAAAATCACTTACTGATATTCTTCTGAAAGACTTAAATTCAAGATAGGTAAGATGATCTGACAGCTCCTCTGGCTCAAGGTGATCAAAGAGAAGTGAGACTTTCCGTTTCTTACTGGTGTTGGCCTTTACACGCTGTGTCAGCTTTCTAGACCAATCCCTAGAATTTCTTTTAGACAAATTTTAAAACAGAATTACCCTGAGTTATTTTCTGAAGAGCAAACTTTTCCTCTCTCCTTAATACAAAAGTAATTTTGTTTTCATGCCTTACTGTAATAAAAAGTGAATTATTTGAATTTCTAAACAGCAAGCTCCTTTCACATATTAGAGATTATATGACAAAACATTATTGTTAGTCTTTATTGTATTAGTGTAACACCTAAGTACAATACAACTAAATTACTAAACAGCATGAGATTGTATATTGTACTTCCAGGATTGCTGTCCATAACTTTGTCTTCATTGAACACATCCTGTGCTCCTCCATTCAATAATTCTTACAGATTTCCTTGACCAGCTTCTGAGTATGAACTTGTTCCCCTATGATATTCATCCATGATGTAATGAAATCTAAGGATTTGAAAAACTAAATATCCTCTTTCATAACCAGATATAAAACGTATGCCAAATTCTGCTTTGCTTTTGCCTGTGCATTTCCAATCAAAGTATGAATTGACACTGTTATACAGCTCCACAGAACTATCTTACGCAGAACTATCTTACTCTCATATAACAAGGAAGGTTCTCTTCCTAAGAAAGAACTATGCGATGCATAGTAGTAGGATTTATTCCTGACAGGTCAAGTAATTTTATAACTAAAATCACATAAAATAGTATCAAGAGTTTGACAATGTAATAAACTATATATTCTCATTTACCTTTGGCGTTAAAAATATAAATACACTTTTTTTACCTCATCTGTTACCCAACCAAAATATAGTCTTCCTTCTCACTGACTCCCAGTGATCTTTCAATATTATAAGGCCTCTACGAACTTTTTAAGTTCCCTGGATAGAGTAAAAATCATCTAGCATAGAGAATCAGCAGAGAGTCTACACAGCAGTTAAATTCAACCTAAGCCATTCTTGAAAGGCATTCTGTTCCTCTATGTAATAACTATTTCATCTGTAACGATGTATAAACTCTTCTAAGGCCAGATAACACATGACTTACTAAAATTAACCCAGTGTAGGACTATTATCTTGCTATACTGGAGAGACATTATATTTGGATAAACGAAATTCAGAGCAAATGTTTGTTTTCCGAGCGTACTGAGACTTTGGCACTCACATTTGAGTTGTGTCAATTAGACGACAGTGTGACTCCTCACCATTAGCTCTAACCAGTTCTTGAAATTCTTCCATAGTTGTGGATAGTTTAGAGTCCATTTTGAACATAACCCAGAACTCTGTAATCCAGTACCTATTGCACATTGAAAATACAGAAACACAAAAATAAAGGTTTTGCTCTAACATCAGTAAGGCTGAAATTTAGATAGTTGCTTCTGTTTATGAGTTGTATTTATCCTTGACCAACTTCAGGGGATAAATCTCGCTTTTAGATGATTTTGGCAGGCTACCTTGATTTTATCAAAAATCAAAATTTCAGTATTAAAAATGAATTAGAAACTACTTGGCTTAGTGCTTTATAGAACTATACTACATATATGTTTGCAATAAATTCAATATTAAAATTTCTACTTTCACATTAAATCTAGATCATATGCATGCTGATTTTTTCTTCATGAACCTCTAGATAATTTTATATGTTCGTTTAAAACTTGAAATTATTTAGTCTGGACATCAAAAAAAAACGCACTATGCTAGTCAGAATTTTATCTATTAACTGAGGAAAAATTTATAATTAAATATATTTAATAGTTTAATGGTGATTCAGTTTCAGATGCACAAAATATTTTCAGAGAACTATACTCTTCTATGTTGGGCATTCAAATTGTTTCAGTCAATAATGTTTTGTATCTCAGTTCCTATATGTGATGTCACCCATTGTGGTGGGTTGACCCTGGCCAGCAACTAAGCACCCACCCAGTGGGTGGGGCTCACTCACTCCTTCCCCTCCCCCGCAGCAGAATGAGGGAGAGAACAGGAAGGGCAAAAGTGTGAAAAATGTGTGAGTCAATGAGAGAAAAAAGCCAACCAAGCAAACAAGTGACGCAAAGGCAATCACTCACCGTCTCCCACAAGATGCCCAGCCGGTATCCAAGTAACAGCTACTTTGGAATGACTACCCCCAAGTTTCCATTGCTTAGCACAGTGCTGTACAGCATGGAACACCCCTTTGGTCAGTTCAGGGCAGCTGTCCTGGCTGTGTCCCCTCCCAACCTCAAGCTCACCCCCAGCCTACACCCTGGGGGTACAGAGTGAGCAACAGAAAGTCTAGATGCTGCGCAACCAGTTCAGCAACAGCTAAAACGTTGGTGTGTTTTACTCACAGATGCAAAGCACAGCATCATAGGGGCCGCTATGAAGAAAGTTAACGCCAGCCCAGCCAGACCCAGGACAGCCATGCATATAAAAATCTGTGCTTGTTGGAAAAATGGAAACGCACATTTCTTATGGATGCATGAATGTATGAATTTGCCTAGAAGCAAAAATATTCCCAGGTCACATATAATACCAAAGCTTTCTGATCTAACCAATAATCTGCTTTGAGATAATAAAATCACCACCATTTAAAACAAATATTACTGTCCTGTTGCTACTTATTTCCCATTTTGTGTAAAAAGGAGATATCATATGCTAATCTATTATCAGAGTTGCATTTTTTTCCCTTGCTTAATATAAAAACAGGTGCAATATTGCACTTCATTTTTTTAATAGACTGGCATAATAACATTAGACACAATGCTACCAATTCCTGAGTACTGTTGATTTTCACTGATGTTTAAGATACGGATTCATACGGACTCAGTTCAAAACTGTGACCCAGCAATTCATGCACTGACTCCAATGGATTTGTACAAAGCTGTCTGGGCCTTTTTGGGAAAGCTGCTAAAGTGAACCTTAAAAAGCTAAAGCAGTATAGCTGTTTCTCTTTTTAAGGTCAGCTTATGATATGCAAAAGCATTCTCATGTACGGCAGGCACATGGATAGCTGCAGACTAATAGCTATCACACAAGAATATTCTTACCTCACAAAATAGCATATCTTTACACACAGCATGGAAGATTTATTTTCTAAAGCATTAAGATAGGTAGAAAACTGTTAAGGAAAACCACATCCATTCATACATGATATGAAATGTAACATCCTTGATAGTTCCCTACCTGTTAGCAATATAAATCATTCTACTGATGGCATATAACGTCAGATTAGAGTTTTACACAAGTGTATACAAAGTATATCCCAAGATTTCTAGCAAAAGTTTAACGTAAATATGACTACTATGAGTAATACTGATGTAGCCGCCCAGCTACTGAGTAGTGTTAAGTAGTGAAACGATTCTGCTTTCTACATGTGTTTCTTTGCAACATGCCTCACAATTTCTAACAAAACTCATGCACATCTCACTAAAATTCAAAACAGTAATACCAAATTTACCAATTACTGCTTTTATGAAGAAATCCTTTTCAGTTAATTACAATTCACTAGAGCTTTTCTAAAGAAGATGCTGTCTTCTTTTAAACATAACCAGTTGTATACAATGGTAGAGGGAAATGTGAAATGCCTCTCCTTGCTAAGCTCATCTTTCTAACTATGCAACAGTTTTCATTTGCCTTGCTGCGGTAACTGGAAAGAAACACCCACATTTTTAGTCTATCAAACATGTTTTGATATTGTAGCCAATGTCTTTTGAAGACATGGAAAATCTGTTTCGAAAATGTATTACGCGTATCTTGATTCTTCTGCTGTATATTGCACACATGTTTTCAGCACTAAAAAACATAATTTAATGAAAATACCTTGTCAATCCTCACACTCTGATTGACATCAACTGCAGCCTAAATCTACCATAACTGAGGGGATATATCATCCACAATTTAAGCACCCATATTAAGCGCTTAAATTAGGCTGACTACAGAACTAGTGAGGTCTGAATAAGTTCCCAAATATTTTGAAGGGCCCAGAACTGAATGTCTGAAGTTAGATGGCTTACAAATCATCCATAATCGTCTAAAATCACCCACATAATTTAGAGGATGGAAAACGGTGAAACTGGGACATTTGCAAGGTTTTTAAAAATACAAGAGCCCAGACTATCTGATACATTCAAAACTGTCTTTACCTTTCAATGTCTTTACAGGGAGCTATACACAGAGTCAAAAAACAAGCTTGCAAAACATGTAAGTTCGATAAAAGTTTGAATCACTTCTGTGATTATAGAAAATGTTAATTCTCGGAAACATGCAAGTAATTACTGTCCTCCATTTTCAAAGAGCGCATGAGCCTAAGTTATAATCAACACCATACCACAGTTGTAGCTTAGCACACTTGATCTAACGCTCGTGGTTAGAGAAACAGCAGGACAGTCAGAATGCAACACTACAGGAAAGCTCTGCTGTAAATGATGCTGGTTTTAAAAACCAGTAAGACACAGAGTTTGAGGGAAGAAAGAATTAGCTGAACTAAATTGTACCAAAATTGGCTAGAGGCTCTTAGCATGTCAGGTCTGCTTCCTGTACTGTCCTTATCTAATTAGAAGCAAATATTCTGTAAAGCTGAGAAGTCACGTAATATATTCAACAATTAAAACTTCCTAAGAAAGGCTGATATTGCCAATATGATCTAGTAGCTTCATTGTGAAAAATCTAATATGCCAGTAACACTCATAACTGACGTATGAGTCCAGGCAGGGAACATATAGGAAGGAAAAGCTTAAGATTTATTTCAGTGCACTGTAATTTAGAGTGTGAGAGTAAGAAATAATATCTGTTGAAAATTTTCTTCTCCAAGTGATACAATCAGAATATTTTCAAAAATTACACTTTTGTTCTCTGTTCTTGTACTTGTATGGAAGACAGAAAGAGAGAGAAAGTGATCTGAAACTTAGGCCCAGGTTCACAGTACCTAATAGAGGTGCCTACACTAATCTAAGACCTGCTAGATATTCCCTCCATGGCCAATGGAGGGTGATTTATCCTACTTATAATCTGAATTGGTGTTTCATCTTTTTGTCTGTGGATGATAAACTAAACCAACCAACCAAACAAAAAATCCCAACCCTAAACCAAATAAAACCACACTATACAACCAAAACTGTAAAGAACAAGTATATTGTTTAATTAGTGGAATAGCAATACACCCATAGATTAAATATCCTCTACTTACCCATTTCAAAATTGTCAAGTTATCTAATATTACCTTAACAGTCAGTGAATATTACAAAGGATATAGATCAATGAGTTTCTGGAGCATTTCTGCAGAGGAAATGATAAACTGATGCATGGCCAGAATTATCTTTAGCAGCTGGTTGTTTTGATATGCATTTCCCTCTAAATCTGAAAAAAAGAAAGAGTATTCATATTGAAATCTTGTTACACTTTGGTAAACAACCTGCATGAGGCTATTTCAGAATACTAATTGTAATCAGGCCTCTTCACCTACGTTATTTCATGATAGTACTACTAACTACTTATTAACTCAGAAAGTGCATGATTTTTCTGATGAGAGCTGTATAACAACAACTATATTTCACTACCAGGATTTGGAAGACCTCTATCACAAAAAAAAAAAAAAAAAAAAGGCAAGCAAAAAAGCAGCTGTGTCTCAAGAGCACTCAAAGTATCCAGATAATTATACACAATGTTCTCAGCCCAGCAGTGCACTTAAATTCTTGTAACTTTGAAACAAATTAAAGAATGGCAGAGCAAAAGAATTCAGTTACTGATCCGTATCAGTCAGTCAGTGGCATGACTGAACTTACCAAACAGAATGCTGATATTCTTCAGTGTTTGTGAGGCTTTTTGTACAGCTGACATACATAACACTAAAGTACATGCACAGGTTAGGATCTATACCTAGATGTGCATGGAATCAGATGTAACGTATGCAGAAACCCAGAGGTTAACCTATGCATGCTCCTAGTGTTGGACTTATATGTCCCAACGCATTTTCTTGAATTAGTCATTACAAGGATTTTACCTGAAGAAGGTTTTTAGACTGTATCTATCTTCTGGGTCTTGTGGTTTTTTTTTCCATATTCAGAAAAGATCAAAGACATCAAATGTAGCAGAATGTTTAAAAAAGTTTCCATTTCTGTAACAAACACAGTACTGAAAGCGTTTGTAAATACTAACATATTTTTCTGCAGCCTGCCATGAGAGAACCCAAGTAGCTTGAATGGGAGACACTTTTTCAAACAGAAAATAAAATTTACCTTTCTGAATAATTTTAAATACATTGTCCTCTACAAGTGTAGTTATCACTTAAAATAGAAATAACAGGAACAATATACAGAAGCAATGCACAATAAGGCAAAAGGGAAGAGGTAGGCGAAACAGCAGATTTGCAGCATATGAAATGGCATCTACTACTATGGGGAGGGGAGGGGGGAACCACCAAAACATTTTTAAATTGCACAACACCAAAAAGGAACATCAAACTTAGTCCACTTGCAAAACAATATGATCCATGTAAGCCATTGAGCAAGAGTTTCCACACCCTTCTACAGGAAGGTACCAAATGTGAAGAGAGACCTCCAGAGCCCAGGCCTTTCCTTTTGAACAATACATTGGATCTTTGGTAGAAATAATAAAGCCTGATTTCCTCTAAATCTGTCTCTTCCATTCTTCACTCCACAATAGTCCTATTCATGCACTTCATCACTATAGTCTCCCCTGAAAGCCTTTTCCTTCTCTTCCCCACAGCAATGCCATATCTCCTCACTCATGCTTAAAGCTATCGGCTACACAAAAGCAATACATGTGGTGGCTGAATCCAGGCTGATTGCCCAGAGAGCAGATCAAGTCAAACCAATGCTGGGCTCACACAGCTGCCCCTACACCAATGTGGGCATCGATCTTTCTTCTTTCTTTCTTCTACACAAGCAATTCTTTGAGATTCCCGTCTTCCCAAATTTCGTTTAAGCTGGCAGACAGACTGACTCTGGTTCATGCAGCACAGATGTAGTTTAGTAGGAAGGTGACTCAGAACGGACTACCCCTGTAGTTTACAAGTTATTGTTTTAGCCGACTGAAGCCTTGAAAGCAGGGGACATGCTGGGCATCATATACCTGGTGCAGGTAACTTCATTCTTCTAGCAAAAGCATAGTCTGTTTGGAGGAAACTTAATACAACAAGCAGTCTTGAAATATCTTACTGCAGCCAGCCTCTCTGGCAAGACAAGCAGAAAAATCCTCATTGGTAAATTCCGGCAGAGTCTATGTGAACATGCAGCAACCCACTCAGCAGTATCAAATCAAGCCCAGAATGAGAACTTCATGCATCAGGTGATCTTCAACACGAACATAAGAGACCATTTTCTGAATCTACTTTCTGTAGTTACACTTGTAAGGAGCAATTCTACCTACAGCGACATGGGCAAGGGGAAAGTCTGCCTGTCCCTCAGCCCCATAAATGAGAGCTGAATATACCCCAAGTAAATAAAAGTTCTTGAGCTGCCTTTTGACTTATACTACAAGTTCTCAGTGTTACAGCATGAACCGAAGTTTATCCTTGTTCATGTTCTCACATAACTCATTACCTAAAGAATCTTTCTGTGATATAAAATGCCTAGGTATTGCAGCAGATGCACAGAGGGCAAAATGGCAAAGTATTCAGCCAGAGAAGGAGAAAATTTGCAGAGGAAGGCTGGGACATCAGGGATCAGTACGTATTGAGGCCTTTAGTATTTCACGTTTTATACTCTTCCAGTGTCTTCAGGAAGAGTAAAATTATTTTAGGCCTTGCACTCAGAGATCTGTATCAATTTTCATCCATTTTACAAATCTTGATATTCTGCCACAGCCTCCATCCAATAGCTCTCATTTAATCAGAAAAGCAGTTCAATACATGCTTAACTCGGATGAAAATGGTTATGTGCACATGTACTATTAAGTATACACAACTGTAATTAAATCACTAGCTTTTCAGAAGTGCTCAATATAGAGCATCTCCAGCTGACAAAGACAGCGAACAACTTTCTCCTAGCAGCTTCTCCTCTGTGCGTATTCCAAAATCCTCTGCCATAACATAACAGAGGTACCAGCTGGCAACAGGTTCCAGATTGAATTTGTCTGTCTTCTAGAAGGTCTCTTTTGCATTTTACCTTATCCATTTTACAAAGATGCAGAGAAAAACAGAACGTTTTGCCTACTAGTAATAAGATCAACACATGGTATTTTCTTGCATAATAAAAGTGTAGTTATGCTTCACAACATCCAGATCTAATTATCTCACAACAGACAGACTTCATTATGATGACACGCAATTACTTTGCACACATCAAAGCAGTACGACGTTTTGTGCTATCCATTGTCTCATTCAACTAAAAGGCTCATCTCCACAAAGACAAACGTTGTATTAGTGATGGTTTGAAAACCAGCATAAACACTCTGCAGCAAAAAATCTTAAGGTTCCCAGTACAGTTCAGCGCTGAACAGCAAGCCTGCATTGAACTGTAGCAGGACATGATTTTACAAACATATGCAGTATCAAATATTTAATGTCATCTCTGTCCAATTTTAAAAGGAAGCACTTTACATCATGACACAGCAAATGTTACTGAAAAGAAAACCATTTAGTCTGATTCCTCTTCCATTTGTACTTCACAAATTTGTAATTCAAAAAAATCCATGGAGTTAAACTGGTAAAAACGGGCCTTAGGTGAGAGCAAACTCCAGCTCAGTCTCAGTTTCAGGACTGTCATTGGGTTTTTCGCATCTCTGACTACCAGGTCACTTCTTTTTGGAGAGCTAACCTGCTACACATAGCTCTATGTAAGGAAGTAACAAAAGTTATCGTAAACGATCTTCGTGCAAACGGTGGAGCAAATCAGAGGGCTTTCCTGACTCTGTTGCAAGAGTGTCTCTGAATACCTCTGCCGCATTCTCTTGAACCTCCAGCAGTTTGTTTTAAAACTTTGAGACTCATTTTCATTTCCGTTTGTATACCTGTTTCTAACCACACACCCTGCTGAGCAAAAACCACTAAGTGAACACTAAATAAAGTGGAAAGGGTGTGTTTCAGCTAGTCAATTTACCTTAAAGAAAGCTGCAAAATACTGCATAAGCCTTAGCTTTGTTTCACTGCTGCAAAATACAGATAACTCACTGGTTACATGCTTTTCCTCTTATAAATAGCTTTATCATACTAAGATGCTTTAATAAATATTCTTTGAAATAAACAAGGAAGCAGGAGTTGAAAATTCTTTTCCAGTATTTAACTACATGAGTGAAAGCACAAAGACATTTAGGGCTAAATATTTTACTATCTATGTAGAAACACAAAGCCAATAAAAATTACAACTACAAAATTTCCATTGCATATGTGAGACTCAGAAGACACAAGGGTAAGAACGTCCCAATCTAGGCCCACCAGCCACTCTGTTGCATGATGGTGGCTCCCTGTAATTCGCGACTTAGAAATATCCAAATTATCACTTTTTCCTAGAGTAGTTGAAAGAAAGTACTCAAAAGACAGTAAGCCAGGCTTTCAGAACAAACTGCCTGCTTTTTACCAGGTCTTGACAGCCACCAGGTCTGTGGTAAATACACTTAACAGAAAGAATATGTACAATAGGCAAGGTTGTTGTACAAAGACCTTCCCACTCAGGAGTGCAATGAGAAGGCAACAGGAAGAACACCAAGGATGTCTTAACAGAACTGAATTTTGCAAGAAAGAAAAGTTAGCTTTTCTAGGTCTAAGAGACCTTTATTTCATAAGAATTGTCTTTATTTCATAAGCAGGTTCCAACTCTATCACCTAGTGTACAACTTGAAACAAATCAGAAGTGAATCACAGAGCACTGATATCACGTGATCAGTGACTAAGCTACTAAGAACTTGAACAACATCTTGTAAACTCCCTTAAGTCTTCCAGTGGTTATCAAAAAGTAGCACCAAAACCAATGTAATGTAAGAAAGCATCAAGCAACTGCCAGGCGGTCGTACTAAGTGCAAAGCTGAAAGTTGTGGGTCGCTATACTGATGTGCTACATAGAATTCTTCAAGATTTCTGCAAAGTGTTTTTTTTTCTGGTGGTGTAAAGATGATGTTATAAATGTCTGCAAAGATTATTAAAGCAGCATGTGATTTGAAAACTGGGGGAACTGATGTTCTTAAGGTCTCAAAGACATGGATGAAACATACAGACATGCATGAAATATGAAGGTACATGTGGGAGTACCTGCCAGTGTTTAGTAACTGAATTGAAACTGTCATAAGTCAATGCCTCTGCTCCACATGGAGGTGCAGTACTACAAAAACCTTATAATGGCTAGAAGCAACCAAAATTGAATTAAATATTTCATGATTTCACGGATAGTTCCTGGAAATTCCCT